ATGGCAGTGGTGCTGTATTGTTCAGTATGATAAGCGATCGATGGCAGTGGTGCTGTGTTCAGTATATTGGCGATGGATGGCAGGTAGGTGCTGATTGTTCAGGTATAAGCGAGGATGGCGGTGGTGCTGTATTGTCAGGTATATTAAGCGACGATGGGGTGGTGTGTATTGTTCAGATTATTAGCGATGATGGCGGTGGCTGCTGTGTTCAGTTATTATTAAGCGAGATGATGGCGAGTGTTGGTGCTGTATTGTTTCAGTATATTAAGCGAGATGTTGCATGGCGCGGTGTGGGCTGTATTGTTTCAGATATTAAGCGACTGTGGATGGCAGTGAGTGCTGATTGTTCCAGTAATTAAGCGATGATGGCGGGTGGTGCTGTGGGGTGCTGTATGTTCGTATAATTAAGCGAGGTGGCGGTGGGCTGTATTGTTCAGTATATTAAGCGAGTGATGGCAGTGGTGCTTGTGTTCAGTAATTTAGCGAAATGGCAGTGGTTGCCTGTAGTGTTCAGTAATTAAGAGAGGATGGCAGTGGTGCTGTTTGTCGAGTATATTAAGCGATCGATGGCGGGTGTGGTGATGTACTGTTCAGTATCTAAGCGATGATGGCCGGTGGTGTGCTGTGTTCAGTAATTAAGCGAGATGGCAGTGGTGCTGGTCAGTAATAAAGCGAAATGGCCAAGTGGTGCTGTATTGTTCAGTATATTTAAGCGATGATGAGCGGGGGTGGGTGCTTATTGTTCAGTATATTAAGGAGATGGCAGTGGTGCTGTAGTGTTCAGTATAGTAAGGATTGAGGGCGGTGGTGCTGTATGTTCAGTATATTAAGCGAGTTGATGGCAGTGGGTTGAGGGATTGGTTCAGGATATTAAGCGAGATTGGATGGCCTGGTGTGCTGTATTGTTCAGTATGATTAAGCGAGATGGCGGTGGTGGGGTGGTGCTGTGTTCCGTATATAAGGAGATGCAGTGGTGCTGTGTTCAGTATATTAAGCGAATGGCGTGGTGCGCTAGTGTTCAGTATATTAAGCGATGGATGGCAGTGGTTGCTGGTGCTGTATTGTCAGTATATAAGGCGCGATGGCAGCAGTGGCCTGACTGTAATTGTTCAGTATATTAAGCGAGATGGCAGTGGTGCTGTATTGTTCAGTATATTAAGCGAGATGGTGCTGTGGAAGTGGAAGGCTGTGCTTTGTCTAACCTCTGTTGAATTATCACGGTCTGTGGGTCAAAAACAATCACATAGATGTGGAGTCATTTGAGGGGCAGTTAGGTCATCATTCTGTGAGTGTGTTCCTTGACAGGTATGACTCCATATCCACTATTTTCTGGATAGTTGATCAAAATAAAATAAAAATCTGTTTCTTTGGTTTATTTTCTATGGCCTCCTTTTTTCTGTCTGGGAAAGTTGTGAGATGGATGTCAGTTCAGCACTTTCTTTTCTCTCGATGCATGTTATTTTTGTTTCTTAAGATACTCCTGGTATCTTATAGGATCTTGTTTGATTTTGTTTATATACACTACATTACCAAAAGTATATGGACACCTGCTCGTCTGTATGGACCTCACTTTGTGCAAGGAAAGGGCCTTCCCCAAACTGTTGCCACAAAGTTGGAAGCACAGAATCATCTAGCTTTAAGGTTTCCCTTCACTGGAACTAAGGGGTCTAGCCCAAACCATGAAAAACAGCTCCAGACCATTATTCCTCCTCCATCAAACTTTACAGTTGGCACTATATATTCGGTTAGGTAGCGTTCTCCTGGCACCTGCCAAACCCAGATTCGTCCGTCAGACTGCCAGATGGTTTTTACGCGCTTCAGCACTCTGTGGTCCTGTTCTGTGAGCTTGTGTGACCTACCACTTGGCGGCTGAGCCGTTGTTGCTCCTAGACGTTTCCACTTCATAATAACAGCACTTACAGTTGACCAGGGCAGCTCTAGCAGGGCAGAAATTTGACAAACTGACTTGTTGGAAAGGTGACATCCTATGACGGTGCCAGTTGAAAGACACTGAGCTCTTCAGTACGGGCCATAATACTGCCAATGTTTGTCTATAGAGATTGCATGGCTGTGTGATCGATTTTATGCTGAAATAGCCTAATCCACTAATTTGAAGGGGTGTCCACATACTTTTGCATATATAGTGTATGTCCTTGTCCTGTTCTTGGTTGATTTAGGGGGTATCCTATAGAAAAATAAAACAGTCAGTAACCATAGTTAGTCACATAAATAGACATAAAAAATCACTCAATCATCCTAACAGAACAAAATGTAATGGTCTTATTTAGCAAATAAGTCTTCAATTTCAAAGTTATTAACAATCTTTTAAGGGTTTATGAAAAGTGTATTCCCATACTGACTTTTACATGAGTCCTTTGTATTGGTGTAGACTTGACGGACCTGACGGGATTAATTCCCTCACAAACAAAAAGGAGAAATCAATATCTTCTCTGGTAAGCACAACCTAACTGGCACTCTTAACAAACAATAACCTCAAGTCAAAACCGTTAGTGTTCCAATGACCTTACATTGTAAAAATGTATTAAAGCAAAATGTGAACTGCAATGGTTGGAGTAGGCCAGTTAAATTCATTTGTATACTGTACCTCCTAATATTTCAGACCGATTATAGACTATTATAGACTAAATTCAGGGAAGAAAATATGCATTTTCAAATCATTTTAACGGGGCCAATATGACATTACACCGGATATGATTGTGACCTCACCTTGCTTGATATGCTTGTCATGAGCAACGGGGGTGATGGGTAGGATGTAGATTCTCACTGTCTCTGTTCCACGCCCCAGTACAGTAGGTGTCTGTCTTTATCAAGTCGCAATGGTGTGCCTTTCGTCTGAACAGTATTTCCTCATTGGTAATTTAGCTGGTATAGCTACATTTTGGTTTTACATAATTGTGATATAAATTGGCTAGCTAGTTGGTGTCCTGATAAATCAAATAGTCCAACTATCAGATTTGAGATTGAATCAGCAAACTTTAGTTAACGATGCTAGCGAGCTAGCCACACCCATGGCATGTTGCCAAAGTAATGAGGTACGCTTGCGATCATGATGAATCCAAAGATAATGCTTTAATTCATCCTTCCTTGCCTAGCAGTTGAACCACAGAATAATTTATATTTGGAAGCACTATCCCATAAAATGGTCGGCATGCAAAGTTATAGCTAGCTACAACAATCTGGTTTACGTCATTAGCTAGACAATATATGAGAATAAAAACATGCAATAAGGTTGTGGTGAGCTGAGGAAGTCCTGTGGTACATTCAGAAGTTTCAATCTGATGACTGAGATAAAACCCCCAATGATGATTACATGAACGTTTAATGACGGCCTTATCGACTTAGCTAAATATTCAGAGTTACTTTGTGATTAGTCGAGCATACTCATCTGATGTTGTTACAGTATTTCTGACCCGAAATGGATTGCGCATCGTGCTACGCAAGTGTAGGGTAGGGAACGTGGTCGCTATTTCTGTGTGGGCAGCTCTCCTGTAGGATAGTCTACATTGTCGCTATTTCTGTGTGGGCAGCTCCCCTGTAGTATAGGCAACATGGTCACTATTTCTGGTTGTGGGCAGCTCCCCTGGTAGGAATAGGCTACATTGTCGCTATTTCTGTGTGGGCAGCTACCCCTGTAGGGTAGGCTACATTGGTCACTATTTCCTGTGTGGGCAGCTCCCCTGTAGGGTCGGCTACATTGGTCGGCTATTTCTGTGTGGGCATGCTCCCTTAGGCCCTGTCACTATGTCTGTGTGGGCACTCCCCTGTAAGGGTAGGCTACATGGTCACGATTCTGTGTGGGGCGAGCTCCCCTGTAGGGTAGGCTACTGGTCACTATTTCTGTGTGGGCAGCTCCCCTGTAGGGTAGGCTGACATGGTCACTATTCTGTGTGGGCAGCTCTCCCCTGTAGGATAGGCTACATGGTCACTAGGTTCCTCTGTGTGGGCAGCTCCCCTGTATGGGATAAGGCTACATGGTCACTATTTCTGTGTGGGCAGCTCCCCTGTAGGGTAGGCTACATGGTCACTATTTCTGTGTGGGCAGCTCCCCATAAGGATATCAGGTGCTATTTTCTGGAGTGGGCAGCTCCCGTAGGATAGCTACCATGGCGCTTTCTGTGTGGGCAGCTCCATGTAGGGTAGGCGACATGGTCACTAGTTTTCTGTGTGCGGCAGATCCCCTGTAGGGTAGGGCAACATGAGTCCACTATTCTCTGTGTGGGCAGCTCCCCTGTAGGGTAGGTACATGGTTAATATTTCGTGTGTGGGCCAGATCCCTGTTGAGGGTAGGGCTACCATGTGGTCACGTATTATGGTGGGCAGTCACCTGTAGGATAGGCTACAGGCACTATTCTGTGTGGGCAGCTACCCTGAGGATAGGAGCACATGGCACTATTCGTGGGGTAAGCTCCCCTGTAGGATAGGCAAAACATGGTCCACTCTATTTCTTGTGTGGGCAGATCCCCTGTTAGGGTAGGGTACATGGTCACTATTTCTGTGTGGGCAGCTCCCCTGTAGGGTAGGGTACATGGTCACTATTTCTGTGTGGGCAGCTCCCCTGTAGGATAGGCTACATGGTCACTATTTCTGTGTGGGCAGCTCCCCTGTAGGATAGGCTACATGGTCACTATTTCTGTGTGGGCAGCTCCCCTGTAGGATAGGCTACGTGGTCACTATTTCTGTGTGGGCAGCTCCCCTGTAGGATAGGCTACATGGTCGCTATTTCTGTGTGGGCAGCCCCCCTGTAGGATAGGCTACATGGTCACTATTTCTGTGTGGGCAGCTCCCCTGACTCGAAGTGGATAGTTAGTTGTCTTTAGTCAGTCTGACAGTCGTTGGTAGCCGGCCACCATCCTGTAGATTTCCACTTATTAGGGGAAGGAAGACACAGTCATAATTCATGTTTTAATTATAAATTCCTGTCTGTTTGTGCTATTTTCAACTCCTATGTCGTTTTCATTTTATACTTGTATTTGGAAAGGATTGTGGTCCAGCAGAATACAACACTTTTAACGGGCAGTGCTGCCCAATGTGTGGTAAGGGTAATGTTAATTTATGCATTTGCTTTTTCAATGTTGTACAATTGCATGTTACCAGTACATAAGGGGCAGACACATTTCTACAGGTAGCCTACAATATCTCACATACTACAGTATTTCAGTAGGCCTCATGCAGTAAATGGGAGGCATTGGCTGTGTCGACGTTACCTGGCAGCATTCTCTAATAACTATTTGCCTATTTCTGTTTCATACTTCTCAATTATTTAATTTTTTTACTGATGCAATTCAGCAAGATATCATAATTTTACAAATTGAAAGGATTATATTTACATGTACTAAAATACATTAAGTCTACAGGTCAGTTCATCTCCATACTTCAAAACTCCTAAGAACTTCATAAATCCAGTGTGTGGGTCTTCCAGTGAGTTGGAGAGGATTGAGGAACCATGGCACAGTTTGAAACCTTGATATGGACTGTAAGTGAAACATTTCTGATTAGCACATTTTGTGGCTTGGCATGTAAAAAAAAAAGAAGAAAAAAAAGTGATCAATGTAAATATGTCCTTTATGAAATATGAATCAGTTATTAGCCAACTAGTTTTAGTTAACATTTGACTGAGAGATGTACATTTCACTAACATTTATTGACTGAATTTGCAGATAACAGGTTATCTTGGGTTTGGTGTCATCTTTAAATGTAATGTATGCTGATGCTGATGTTTTATTTCTTCTCTATTTGCAGATACCTATCACTTTTATACTTCTAAACATTGAACCCTGTTTCACATATATTCGCCCCATCTATAAAATAGGCGATAGATATTGCAGAATGTGTAGGCCTGGTAAGGACCTTGTGTATTTTTATTTACATTTACATTTAAATTTACATTTACAAATGTATTATTATGAGGGGTTAATTATAATAATAACTATAATAATACCAACATTTAATTATTTTCTGGTTTTCTTTTCAACAGGATATCGTGTAAATAGTCATTGTACTAAATCTACAATCACCTCCTGTGTGCCCTGTATTGACTCCACATTCCTTGATGAGCCCAGTGAGAAAACAACATGCAACAACTGTACCACATGTGATCCAGGTGAGAATTATATCAGCTGTTGTTTTAATGAAATACAACAGGCTTTACATTTAGCTTCAGATACCAAGTGACATGTTTTCTCCATAGGTTTGGGTTTGAAGGTAAAGCAGCCATGTAGACCTTCATCAGACACTGTCTGTTGGACACTGGAGGGGTTCTACTGTCTAGACCCAACTAAGGATGGTTGTAGAGCAGCCCAGAGACACAGCAGCTGTAAACCTGGTCAATACATCAGCCACACAGGTTGGTCTTCTGTCTCACTCATAAAACTAATTGTGTTGTCATAATTCAATTGAGTCAAGTTGTTAACTTCAGTGTGAATAATCATTACAGTTAATGGAATTAAATGAGGGGAAGAAATTACATTTTTATTAATATTTCAACATGTACAGTTGAAGTCGGAAGTTTACATACACCTTAGCCAAATACATTTAAACTCAGTTTTTCACAATTCCTGACATTTAATCCTAGTAAAAATGCCCAGTCTTAGGTCAGTTAGGATCACCACTTTATTTTAAGAATGTGAAATGTCAGAATAATAGTAGAGAGAATGATTTATTTCAGCTTTTATTTCTTTCATCACATTCCCAGTGGGTCAGAAGTTTACATACACTCAATTAGTATTTGGTAGCATTGCCTTTAAATTGTTTAACTTGGGTCAAACGTTTTGGGTAGCCTTCCACAAGCTTCCCACAATAAGTTGGGTGAATTTTGGCCCATTCCTCCTGATAGAGCTGGTGTAACTGAGTCAGGTTTGTAGGCCTCCTTGCTCGCACACGCTTTTTCAGTTCTGCCCACAAATGTTCTATAGGATTGAGGTCAGGGCTTTGTGATGGCCACTCCGATACCTTGACTTTGTTGTCCTTAAGCCATTTTGCCACTTTGGAAGTATGCTTGGGGTCATTGTCCATTTGGAAGACCCATTTGCGACCAAGCTTTAACTTCCTGACTGATGTCTTGAGATGTTGCTTCAATATATCCACATCATTTTCCTTCCTCATGATGCCATCTATTTTGTGAAGTGCACCAGTCCCTCCTGCAGCAAAGCACCCCCACAGCATGATGCTGCCACCCCCGTGCTTCACGGTTGGGATGGTGTTGTTCGGCTTGCAAGCGACCCCCTTTTTCCTCCAAACATAACGATGGTCATTATGGCCAAACAGTTATATTTTTGTTTCATCAGACGAGAGGACAGTTGCAAACCGTATTCTGGCTTTTTTAATGGCGTTTTTGGAGCAGTGGCTTCTTCCTTGCTGAGCGGCCTTTCAGGTTATGTCGATATAGGACTCGTTTTACTGTGGATATAGATACTTTTGTACCCGTTTTCTCCAGCATCTTCACAAGGTCCTTTGCTGTTGTTCTGGGATTGATTTGCACTTTTTGCACCAACGTACGTTAATCTCTAGGAGACAGAATGAATCTCCTTCCTGAGCGGTATGACAGCTGCGTGTTTCCATGGTGTTTATACTTGCATACTATTGTTTGTACAGATGAACGTGGTACCTTCAGGCGTTTGGAAATTGCTCCCAAGGATGAACCAGAATTGTGGAGGTCTGCAATTTTTTTTCTGAGATCTTGGCTGATTTCTTTGGATTTTCCCATGATGTCAAGCAAAGAGGCACTGAGTTTGAAGGTAGGCCTTGAAATACATCCATAGGTACACCTCCAATTGACTCAAATTATGTCAATTACCCTATTAGAAGCTTCTAAAGCCATGACATCATTTTCTGGAATTTTCAAGCTGTTTAAAGGCACAGTAAACTTCTGACCCACTGAAATTGTGATACAGTGAATTATAAGTGAAATAATCTGTCTGTAAACAATTGTTGGAAAAATTACTTGTGTCATGCACAAAGTAGATGGCCTAACCGACTTTCCAAAACTATAGTTTGTTAACAAGAAATTTGTGGAGTGGTTGAAAAACGAGTTCTAATGACTCCAACCTAAGTGTATGTAAACTTCCGCCTTCAACTGTATTTATGCAGGAACAACATCTACAGATACTGTGTGTGTTGACTGCCCTGGTAAAACGTATTCAGATGGATCATTAACATCTTGTCAACCACACACAGAGTAAGTGTGGACATTATTAGTTAGTTCAAATGGTTAAGATATAAAAATACAATAATTATTATGCTCAAATGGAATCTTTCAAAAACTATATTTATGTCTTTGACATAGATGTGAATTCTTGGAAATTGAACCAGGAACTCCTTGGTCGAATTCAGAATGCGGAGTAACCTCACTTCCCACAGCTGGAACCATAGCTGGAATCATAGCTGGTGTTCTGATAGGTTTCCTGATAGCCACCATAGCTGGTGTTTGTTTATTTATAGTGAGAACAAAACTAAACTTAGGTAAGATTACTGGAGTTTTATCTTTACCATTCATTGTTTTCAATGCCTGTGATACTCAGTATACTCTGTAAATGCTACATGTTCTACTTCTCATAGTGTAGATTACTGTTTGTTAACGTCATGGTTACACAGTATGTTTATTACAATATTGGACATCTGACTTTTTTATAGGCCCTCAAATACTGACACAGGTATGTTTGGAAATCTATGAATTACTAAGTGTGTTACTAAGTGCTCTCTTCTGGCTGTGAAATTTGAATTTAATGGGCCAGTTTCCCAGGCATAGGTTACGCCTAGCTTTGGACTAAAAAGCACTTAAAATTGAGAATCTCCAATGTACGTGCTTCTTAGTCCAGGACTGGGCTTAATCTCTGTCTGGGAAACTGGCCCAATGTGGTTTACTAATTACTGATTCTGTCTGATAGGCATTCCCATATCAGGATATACCAATGCTGTCTGAGGAAACTGTAAAAGGTAAGGCAAACTTTCAAGGTTTTCTAAATATGTGTACGGAATAGTTTTTATGAGTTAAAAGAATTTCAAACATATTTATAAGTAAATGTATATGGTTTATTACTTAATCAAGTCATCAATGCTATGACAAATGATATGATCCAAGAATAAATTACTCTGGATACAAGCAATTGTTCTACAAATCATTGTCCAGAACGTAAATTAATTACTGATAAATTACAAATGAATTCTCTCCCCAGATTCAAGCCCCCATCACAGTCAGTGACTCAACATTCTGTAAGCTGTGCTCCACTGGCTGGCTGGTCCAGCCATCTATAGTGTATTTTAACACTACATGTTAAATGTGATATTGTAGAATCTGGTTGGTATAAAAACAGGATTCTACAGCACATTCAAAGAATATGACCTCTGGGTAGAGGATCACTGTGCATTGACAATTACTATTATGTGGCTTAGTGTATGAATCATATACATCAGCTTCCACCCACACTGGAACACGTGCATCAGCTTCTGCCTACAGCCTGTTCTAAAATGAAAAGGACCATGTGATGAGGATTAGGAACCAGCATCAGTAGGTGAGAACCCTCTGCTCTGCCCAGGGGAAAGTCAAACGTGTGTATAACTTCAGGACCACAACGTCTGTCAGCCCATACTATGGAACTTCAAATGGGACTTGATAATATCTTGAGACACAGATTACTGGATACTGGTGCAGGATGCAACCTTCGCTTGGGGAAGATGCCCCAGAAATTAGAAACGTCATCAAAAGGATGGGAAGGAAATTCAAATGGATAACTTTACACTACAAGAACATCAACATCACGCTCATAGAAGCAGACAAGGACATCAACATCACGCTCATAGAAGCAGACAAGGACATCAACATCACGCTCATAGAAGCAGACAAGGACATCAACATCGCGCTCATAGAAGCAGACAAAGACATCAACATCACGCTCATAGAACCAGACAAGGACATCAACATCACGCTCATAGAAGCCGACAAGGACATCAACATCACGCTCATAGAAGCCGACAAGGACATCAACATCACGCTCATAGAAGCCGACAAGGACATCAACATCACGCTCATAGAAGCCGACAAGGACATCAACATCACGCTCATAGAAGCCGACAAGGACATCAACATCACGCTCATAGAAGCAGACAAGGACATCAACATCACGCTCATAGAACCAGACAAGGACATCAACATCACGCTCATAGAACCAGACAAGGACATCAACATCACGCTCATAGAAGCAGACAAGGACATCAACATCACGCTCATAGAAGCAGACAAGGACATCAACATCACGCTCATAGAAGCAGACAAGGACATCAACAAGCAGATACAACCTCACTATGGACTGTATGGATCACAGAAGCATTGAAAAGACAACATTTCAGGAACTATCCTGAACTGCTTCCCCTCCTATCTCACATATAGGTGAGAATAAGTATTGTAGAAGAGTGCAGGTCCACTCAGTCACCTGTGGTGTCCCCCACCCTGGTCATCCTCTGCCTACTTCCTCTCAGTTATGTTAATCAGGTGTTCTTCCACAGTTTTGCGGATGACATGCATGTCTACATCTAAATGGCCCCTAATCCCTTAAAGTACAGGCTTGGTTGAAGCTCTACATTCTACATGTGAGCAGACGCAAAACTGAAGCCATACTATGTTGGCACCCCACACTTTCAAGTGCACCCACAGCCTGATTAGCCAGGAATATTCCAGAATGCACTATATTATATCTGCTCCAAACAGCTATAAAGTGCCTTTCTGTATGCTGTCCTCTCTCTGTTCTGGACTGATGATATAAAAAGGGCTTTAAAAAAATATTTATTAGGCTTTATAAATGAATTTGATTGATTGTCCTTTATTTTATTTACCCATAGCTAGAGCCTTGCGTTACCTCGAGGCCGATACAGCGCCTTCTCACATAATGTGTGAAACAATTGTAACGTCATTATCCAATTAGTCCAAAATAAGTTCCCAACCATGTTGATTGACTTCAAATTAAATGTCTGCCGACACTCACAGCATCGTTCTCATCAGCAGGCTACACTAGGACCGGACACAACCTCTAGCCGCATAGGGCCTACAATGTTTTATCCATCAAAATAAATACCATCGTAAAAATAATGAATTGATTGTGTTAAACGCACATATCTTTTTCCAACATGAGTCATTAATAAGTAGTATTTTTAAATAATCAATGGGTATTCATTAATTTATAAGTCCCAAAAAAAGCTGTCATCTATTTCAAGGATCACGTAGATTCAATTGACAACTCATCAATCAATGGATCATACAGTTCTCAACATGTTGCACTTTATATACAGTTGAAGTTTGTCCAATTATATCTGTATGTTACTGTACTCTGTTGCACTGACTGTCCTCAAAAATGTGAGGTAAAAACATGTAACATGTAAAAGTTATCACGTTTACTATGTCCCAGTTAAATCAGTTCAACTGAAGAGGCTAGTTGACGAGGAGAAATTAAACTACTGGTTACAAATAGATAATCATATTTCTGGCACCATTTAGCTAACCAAGATGATTGTCCATCACAGTCTTTATCAGTTAACTTTACTACAGGTTTCGCTACAATCTTCTGCATTATCCAGCAAGTTCTTTACAGAAAAAAAAGTGGTATAACCAAAGTTTTACACTGTGCAATACTCCCAATTGGAATAATATCAATTTTATTTAGAGATGAATGTTGTCTAATGATGAGGGATTTGTACAAAGACTGAGTCAATTTTAGAGGCCAATTTGTCCTGGAACAAAAGGAGTTGGAAAAATTGGTAATATGATCTCACAAATGTTTATGTAATGGATGTACTTGAAGGTTGAATATAATGCTGTTAAATTCAATGCAGTTTTGCTAAACAATGTACACTTGCTGTGTTTATTATTTAAAATGCATGGAGGACATCTACAAAACAAAAACTGCAATATTTCATGCAATGTTTTAAAGCTTCCAAATTGTAATGCCCACCGTTCATGGGTAAAGGCTTCCATTAGCATGGGAAATTACAGTTTTTATTATTTTAGTAAATATTGTCAATAGCACATTTTAGAGCTCTACTGAACTGTAAATTAAAGTACAACTATTACACCAGACTGCTATAACATTATTGACCACTATTCTATGAATCCAAGTCAGAGGGTTATTAACCCAGACTCATTCTGCAAAAGCATTTTAATTTCATACAATGTGCACTAATAACATTACATGACTGCCCTCTAGAGGTTACCCCAAATGAAATCAGTGGTAAATATCAAGGCAGGAAGCATGTGAAAGACAACCGTTTAGAATGGCCTGGAGGACAGGAGTATAACACAACTAAACCGTCAACATATACAGTATGTTTGGCAACCAAGTTGCATATTAGTTATTGTACACTTACACACAAAACCCAAGACCCTACATAAAGACAGCACTTTAGTTAAAGAGTATAGGCTACAGAGATAGAGTTGATTGTATGACTGGTACATTGTAAATTAACTGGTTTTACTCAGTGGTTAACAGTTTTTGGTTTGTAAAACAACATTTAGCTGCGTGACTTCAAGATCACCTAATCACCAATAATTCTGTCAACATTTGCGCTATGAGACATAAATATTCTGTGTTTCAGCCGTGTCACTAGCCCCTCTGTGTGTGAAGACAGATCTCATTTGGTGTTGGAGCTGCTGCTTTCTCTCATTAGATCTTCTTCTGTGGTGTTGGAGCTGCTGCTTTCTCTCCCCCCCAGTCTCAGCTTTAGCTCCTTGTACCTCACAGAGTAAGTGGAGGGATGTTCTCTCCTTTCTGTTGCAGTTTTTGGTAGAACTTTGTCATCAATTATTTTCTAAAATGAAATAATATTTAACACATAAAGCTCCCAAAATGTTATGGCCACAGTTTATGGCTACATTATAGGAAAGGCAACCATTAGTCAGGGTGGCATAAAACAAGGTTATCTGGTGAAGGGGTGTTTCAAAAGTGGGTATCTTATCTGGCATTCCATTGATTCAAGGGTTTTAACCTTTTAGGAATCTGGTATCTACAGGGTACAAAAAATGGACCTGGACATACAGTGAGGGAAAAAAGTATTTGATCCCCTGCTGATTTTATATGTTTGCCCACTGACAAAGAAATGATCAGTATAATTTTAATGGTAGGTTTATTTGAACAGAAAAATCCAGAAAAACTCACGTCAAAAATGTTATAAATTGATTTGCATTTTAATGAGGGAAATAAGTATTTGACCCCCTCTCAATCAGGAAGATTTCTGGCTCCCAGGTGTCTTTTATACAGGTAACGAGCTGATTAGGAGCACACTCTTAAAGGGAGTGCTCCTAATCTCAGCTTGTTACCTGTATAAAAGACACCTGTCCACAGAAGCAATCAATCAATCAGGTTCCAAACTCTCCACCATGGCCAAGCCCAAAGAGCTCTCCAAGGATGTCAGAGACAAGATTGTAGACCTACAAAAGGCTGGAATGGGCTACAAGACCATCGCCAAGCAGCTTGGTGAGAAGGTGACAACAGTTGGTGCGATTATTCGCAAATGGAAGAAACACAAAATAACTGTCAATCTCCCTCGGCCTGGGGCTCCATGCAAGATCTTACCTTGTGGAGTTGCAATGATCATGAGAACGGTGAGGAATCAGCCCAGAACTACACGGGAGGATCTTGTCAATGATCTCAAGGCAGCTGGGACCATAGTCACCAAGAAAACAATTGGTAACACACTACGCTGTGAAGGACTGAAATCCTGCAGCGCCCGCAAGGTCCCCCTGCTCAAGAAAGCACATATACAGGGCCGTCTGAAGTTTGCCAATGAACATCTGAATGATTCAGAGGAGAACTGGGTGAAAGTGATGTGGTCAGATGAGCTCTTTGGCATCAACTCAACTCGCCGTGTTTGGAGGAGGAGGAATGCTGCCTATGACCCCAAGAACACCATCCCCACCGTCAAACATGGAGGTGGAAACATTATGCTTTGGGGGTGTTTTTCTGCTAAGGGGACAGGACAACTTCACCGCATCAAAGGGACGATGGACGGGGCCATGTACCGTCAAATCTTGGGTGGGAACCTCCTTCCCTCAGCCAGGGCATTGAAAATGGGTCGTGGATGGGTATTCCAGCATGACAATGACCCAAAACACACGGCCAAGGCAACAAAGGAGTGGCTCAAGAAGTAGCACATTAAGGTCCTGGAGTGGCCTAGCCAGTCTCCAGACCTTAATCACATAGAAAATCTGTGGAGTGAGCTGAAGGTTCGAGTTGCCAAACGTCAGCCTCGAAAACTTTATGACTTG